TTTTATTCTTTTTGCCACTTTGTTGTATTCTTTCGTTGAGTATTCCTATTTTATAAATCTTTATTTCAATTAACAGTTGCGTTGTTTTTAAATGAGAGCATTTGCTTGTATTCGCATTTTTTCGCACGCAAAATAGTTGTGCAGTTTCCCAGCGCATCAACTAACGAAAAAGCGGAATTTGATTCCTATTCCAAATTACTACTTATTTGTTTTTACTTGCGTGTATTTTGTATTTTATTTTTCTGTTTTTAGTATATTGTTACCCTAACACAGGCGAATGAAGTTAGTCTGCGTTCTGATGTACATATCTCCCAACACTTTTCTGCTTCAATTGTTGTCTGGCTGCTTGATACTCCGGTCTTCTACTTACTCCACAGTTTTACTATACTACTGTTTTTTTTATTTAATTTATTTTTGTTGCTGTTGTAGTGCACTTAATTTGTTGCATCAATGTAAACTCATCCACACAATGTGGATTAAATTTCTACTCCTTGCAATTTTCCTTCGCGTCCACTGTGCCATAGCTTCGATTGGAGCAGTTCAAATTCTAAACGTGTCTTTGCTTCAAGCGGTCTTCTACAATGACCTGGCATGTAGTGGCACTTGAATTTGTTTTTAAACGCTTCGCCTGCACAATGGTGCTCAACCTTGTCCGTGCTCCTCTTTAGCTGGCTTTTGTGTATTGATTTCGTTGTCAGTAAATTGACCAGTTTTATTTGTTTTTGCACATCTGCCTCGGAATAAAGATTTGTTAGTATGTATTTATGCAACTATATGCAGGTATAAAAATCAACCATACCAGAATTTATAAAAAAAAAAAAACATAATACAACAGAGTCTAGTTGCATCGACACCGAAGTGGGTGGTTTATGTAGCGATTTTTTGTTTGTCTGCTCTTAATTTTGCTCTATTAGCCTTTTAATTGCTGTGGAATTCAAAACGCTTCAAGCCTCAGCAACTTTTAATACCAACACTTTTTGATATGGGTAATAAGGTGGGCGAGATTGCAAGGATAATAGTATTTGATGGGATTTTTCCTGTATGTCGGTGGGAATTGTAGATTTTAGTTCCAGCAAAGAAATGATAAATGGTGAGAAACTTTAAGCGGAAGTGCTTTTGACTTTTTTATTTAAAATTAAAGACAAAGCGTTAGAAATAGCTCGAGGGTTTCGCGACCAAGGGCTGTTGTTTCCGGGATCTAACGCGGTTTAGATTGGCTAACTGTACTAAGCGTTGTTCGCATCTGGATGAACGCCTTAACTAGATATTTATTTCTACTGCGTATCACAGTACAGGCTTCATCCAAACTCCAACTTTTACATTACATAGGGAGTGGAGAATAAACTATGTGGCCACTTGTTGTTCAAGCCGGACGGCACAGCCTGCACCCACGAAGCCTCCTTGGTTCTTCAGGGCTCACCCGAGCAAGAAGTTAACCACCAACATCAGACATCAGTATACCCTGCAGTAAAGGCAACAGCACCAAGGTAGTCAATTCCACCTACGTATATCTCTCAACCCAGTTTAGCGACCAGCCTTCCAAGGCACATGAAACTCTCAAAATTTAACTTCAACGAGTCGGGATTAAGAAACGAAGTAGCACAACAGGTTAGGTTAGGCAGTTGTAGGGCAGACCCTACAAGAAGGACTCATTTATACATTAATTACTGTTCATTGTGTTACCACATTACGCATATTAATTTGAACGGTAACTACAGGTTCCCTGTGTTAAAGTAAGAGCAGCGCTGGGTGCTCATAACGAAACGCCGCAGGAACCTTATACTCACACTGGAGAGCTTATCGGGAGTATAGATGAAATGCGACCGAGCTGCTTAGCGAATATCGGGCAGCTGAGAATGAAATGCTGAGATGATTCCATCTCGTCTTCCAAACAGCTGCGGCAGTTTGGATCCGCGATGACTTTAAGTTGCACCGAGTAGGTTCCTAAGGGACAATGTTCGGTCAGTAAACCTGTAAGAATTGAGGGCTGGCGCTTAGCCAGCTGGAGAAGCTCCCTTGACCGCCTGCGGTCAACAACCGGCAAGAATGACCATGCAACTTCGCATGTCGGCGTTGTTTTCCAGCGCTTACTGAGCCAACTGTGAGCTCATCCGTCCAGAAGCAGGCCGCAGATAGCCAAAGGAACTCCCATGCCCTACCTGTCCGGAGTTATGGCTTGGAGGGTGCCCTGCCTAGCCAATACATCAGCCCTGTAGTTTCCAGTGATGTTACTGTATCCTGAGACCAAAATTAACTTGATTTGGAGGTATTTCGAGGCGGTTGAGAGAGAGAGAGGTGAGGCATTCCTCGACCCGTGTCAATCGTACTATGAGCGATCCCAGCGCCCTGATTGCCGCTTGCCTATTAGAGTAGATATTTATCCTCCTAGTCGGCGGAGCATTGGTGCATAGCCAATCGGCTGCCTCTTTAAGAGCGGCCACCTCCGCATGAGAGACGCTGCACATATCTGGCAGTCTGAGCATAAAATCTGAGAGTAGGCACCTCCTCCAACTCTCCCGTCCAGGATCTATCTGTCCGTGGAAGTGTTTGTAGGACCTATACTCTAGAGACTGCCATTCTCCCATTCGCCCTTGCGAGAGATGTGCGATAGAAGGAGCCGTTTATTGCCAGCCTCAGAGCATTCCGCTTCATTTCTTCTGTTAGGAAGTCGCAGCTTTTGAAAATTGTCGAGTGCGCGTATGCTGGGTTGAACGAGAAACCTTCAGCTTTTGAGTCTAACGGCTGAGTGATCCGCCACTACTTTGCCCGCAATATAAACAGATGAGGCACTGAGCATAGCACTTAGCGCTAGAGGTTGGAATGACCCGAGTCGCTTCGCTGATTCCAACGTGACCGCGTTCTAACTTCCTAATAAGAGTAGTCTTTTCCAGTGAATTCCAGTGAAGAGTAGCCTATTTCCAGTGTGACCAAGTTAAGGTATCCACGAACTTTTCTAGGGATTCTTTTGCGGAATATTAGCAAGTTATGCCAAAGTGACCACCTTCATCATGTTTATTGAAAGTCTACAGACGTCTTGACCAGTTAAAAATTTGATGATATTGAAGTCCAACTCCCGCTGATCCGTTTCGACCCAGAATGAGACAAAAAGTTCAATGCCCATTGGCAGATGAGTTCCGATGTTCCTGCAATTCACTATCGCCCGCATTCGTGTGAGCTTCCTAAGCTTGATTTAGAGGTCCAGCTAGCAATAGCGACCTTGCCAATAGGTCGTTAGGGTACAAACTATGTACCACAAGCCCTGCGTGAACTAAAACAAGTTTGAAACGTGGAATATACCTTAAGTGTATATAGCGGGTAGAAAGATTTCATTCCTCGAGTGTATGATGCCACGCGCAATGCCCAAACCTCAAAGCCGTAGAGGATCACGCAACTTTTAGTGAGATGGCTGAAATACAACACAGCTGGATACGAAGGAGAGAAGGAGGAGACCACCGAACACATTGCTTCTCACCCAAACCCTTGCGAGGCAATTCTTTGAAAAAAATTGTTGCTTCAAATTCAGCTCATTACCCTTTTTGGAGTCAGGCAGGTTCTGCAATTCACTTCCGAGTGAATTTCAAACAAATTGATTTCAAATTGGCCTGAATAAAATGAAACTGGATAGCAGAAGTGGATTTATAGAAGTAATTCACTGAAAACTTCAAAATTTTTCTATATTACTTTAAGAGTCTTAAAACCGGTTTTAGTGACTCTTTTTAACCACGAAAACCGCCAAAAAAGGGAGAAGAAAAGTCACAACGAAAGAAAAACCCCTGTGTACTGTGTGAAATCTGAAATAGTGAAAAAGTGCTGAAAAACAATTCCAGTTGAAGAAATTCCGCAGCTCGCCAGTTGGGTATACTGTTTTTTTGTTTTTTTTTTTCATTTTTTATCAACGCGTTTCTCTTACATCATTTTTTATGCTGTCATTTTAGTTAGTCCCAAATGCTATGCTCACACATGGCAAAAAGTTGTGCACAGTTGCCGCGATGTGCCTGCGCCTCCCGATACGGTCGGTCAACAATGTGCAAGTCGGTGGGGTGTAGTGCAGGTTCCTCGAACTCCACTGATCCGCCGCTACTACTGACGTCAGTTGTGGGCAGCACAAACATGGCGCGTAGCAGTTCCGTGATGAAACTTTGAGGTTCCGCTTTATCATTTTGTCGTTGTTTTATATGTTGCTGTCCAGTTTCGCACAGTGCGCGCAATACAC